CGCCGCCGTCGTCGAGTCAAGGCGCTACCTAGGGTTGCGTTTACAACACGTTATCAGCACGAGTACTCTACCACCTAAGCAAACGACGACGACATCAAAACGAACGGGCAATCAAGATAACAATCAAGAATTGATGTATGCTCTAGAAAAGAATTGTGTCTTTTCTGTCAGGTAACATTCAAGATCTATTCAATATCAATAATGATCTATTAGTTTCATGTGGCTAAATTTTGGTGAATTATTCTGCCATGGATTTGATTGATCCGCTTATGTTATTGCCTGTAATTTTCAATCGTGGTCGGTTGTTGATATTAATTTATCATTACTCTTTTGGGTTCGTATTATATAAATCCGTCAGGGGTAAAAAAAAATTACAAATTAATTCATTCAATCTTTGTATGTGCCATTTTTATGCTCTCAGATAACCAATTTTTTGCTTGAAGCAATTACTTGGAATTATTTGGCCCCAGTAATTCCATTCTCTTGAGGGCATCTATAACGGGAGGTTTGTGCACAGGTTTGTAAACTCAAACCTGGAGGTTTAACCATTAAAGTACATAGTTTTAAGGTTTGAGTTTTCAAACCAGCTTTGGCAATGCACTCCCGTGTTAATGCTTCAAAATAAAAAAAAAATAAAAAAAAATAAAAAAGTTGAAAAAGTAGGGCGTGAAATACACACCCAATTTAAAACAACTGAATGTGAACCACACGCTAAAAACTCGCGTAGCATGCCTCCAAAAAAATCTGCCATCTTGTCCCCCACTTGCATCCACCACTTTCTTTGGTTTGTTTTTTTTTTTTCGNAACTTTTCTCTCCTTTTTTTATCAACTTTTTATTTATATTTCATAAAATTTTGTCTCTTTCCTTTGTAATAAAATTTTCTAAATTTTTATATTTTTTTTATATTACTTAGGATTATACATTATTTTAAAAAAATTATAATAATTATTGCAACATTTAAATTAATTGAAATAATAACGAGTTGCCGTTGTTTTCGAAAAATAATAATTAAAAACTAGGTATTTTCGAACAAGAACGAACACTAACAATATTTGCTTATTATTTTATAATTAAAATTATTGAATTATGAACTTGAATTGTTATTCTAATTAATTTTATATTTTTACATTATTAAAGTTGAATAGTGATAATAATAATAAAAAAAAAGCAAGGTCCCATGCATCAGTGAATGTCATCCATCAACTTTTGCATTTTGTACAGCAACTTTGAATTGAAGAGTATCTTTAAATTTGCTTTCAATCTTTTATTTCTTTTTTTTTTGTCAGATTTTGGAATGGTGATGGTCAAAAAGATAAAGTTGCATGTGTATTGTCATCCATCAACCGTTTATATTTGTCGGATGCTTTAATTTGAATGTTGAACTGATAAGAATTGCCCTTGAAATATTTTGTCTATAAATGAGATTGTTTTCTCTACAATGTTCCATAAACGATTACATCTTTCATTAGAAACAAAAATTAGTCATATCTTCAATATCTCTCAAGCTGTAATGGATAATAATCCATACAAATCCTACCTAAATATGCCGAACTCATCGGAGGATGACAGTCTGTCTTCCTTAAATTCACGTTTTACACGAAATATGCAATTTTCTCAATTTTCTAGAATGCAACTACAACCCCAGTTTCAAAATTTTCCTTTTCAAGTACCTGCACCAATGCCTTCTTATATGTGGTCATGAATCAAACTTCAGAGCAAAATTCCTTTCCCCCATCACCAAATTTAATGACCATGAATCAATCTCAGTATATGTGGTCAATGCCGCCCCAATATGGTATGCCGAATGCATTTGGGATGCCTTATCAACAAGGAAATTTCATGCCGACTGGATTCTCTAGTAGCCCCATTGAAGTCCCAAGACCTTGCACGATCCCGGAGGTTGAAGGACTCGACAACATTTGCCTTGATACGGATTCAGAAAAAACCAAAGAAGTTGAGCCTAAAAGACGGGGTAAAGCGACAGCAATGCCGTGGACACATGATGAGGATGTTTTACTATGTCGAGCTTTCTGTACCATCTCAAGTGATTCGGTCATTGGCGCTCAACAAATGTCCGAAGGTTTTTGGTGGCGAATTGTACAGTACTACAATGAAGCTGGTGAAGCACGAAACCTCACTCAGAGAACTATGGAGTCAGCAAAATCTCATTTTTATGCGTTTCATGGAGATTGCCTAAAATTTAATGCGTCAATAAACAGGTTTCGGGCTGATCAAAGAAGTGGTGAAAATGATGCAATTGTTTTGCAGAATGCATTAATGGAGTGGAATAGCGAGGGAAAAAAGAAAGGAGGCTTTAAATGGCTTCATTGTTGGGAGGTATTGAAAAATAATGCCAAATTTGATGGGGAATCTCAGACAACCCGAGGAGGAAAGAAAGCCAGAATATCTGATACTGGAGATCACACTTCTGGCTTTGGGCAAGATGTCGACCCTAGTGGTGATGGTGAGGGCAGATATGTGCGTCGACAAAAAGCAGCAAAGGCTGGGAAAAGAAAGGGAAAAGCAACTGCAGGAGGAAGCACTGGTGCAGATATCGACCGTCTGTTGGCTGAGATTGGTCAGGTTAAAGAAATTCATCCGAAGAAACAAAAGGATTTGGAAAAGCTAGTTCGTATAGAGTCATGGAAGACGTACAGAGAAATGCTAAAGGAGGATACTTCAACCATGACAGAAGAAGAATTGCAAGCCCACCAGGGACTTCTTGCCGTGCTTAGAGAAGAGTTGGATCTAAACTGATTATTTATGTTGTTTGAAGTTTTTATCGTTCTATAATTTAAATGTTATGCCTTGTTTATATAAGTTATTATGTATTGTGTTAAATTTTATGAGTGTAAGCAATGTTTGTTGTTGTTTGATCTATTTTAAAAATAGCTCATTTTTTCACTTGTTTTTTTAAAAACACATCCAACGCGTTCTTATACCATACAATTAAATTCAAAATTTATTCGGAGACAAAAATAATGTTAGTTTTATTTCACCAAAAATAACATACATATTAGTAAGAGTTACAGTGTTTATCTATTGGTTCAACATCCACATTTGATTTATTACCCACTACACACTTTTCACCTAATACATTAAACCTAACAATCCAACCACTACAACATAATACCTATCACATTATTACACCACACTTCTCACTTACTCCACCACTCATGCCACCAACTACCACACACATGCCACCTAACACATCCTAACCTAACACAATCACTTTTTACTATAAATAGTATAGTATCATCAACTACACAACCACATCCAAAAACATCTTTCCATTCCTTCTTTATTCTTCCTTCTTATTGTTTTCCCAATTTTCACAAATATAAATATTTTTCAGTTTTCTAAAATGGCTGGCCGTAATAACGATAGAGTCTCATATCGTTCTTTCTTGAACGATATGCTTGACGATTCTTTGGATCAAGCTGAATTTGCCTTAATGGAGGCCACGACTATGCATTTGCAGCAAGGCGGGCAAGATGAAAGTTCAAGTAGGCGTGAAAGACGAGAAGTGCCTCGAAATCGTGAAGCTGGACATGCCC